AAATAAATAAACAAATAAATAAACAAACAAATAAATAAAAAATGAATGCATTAGTGATTTAATGATGGAATGGAAAAAGTGGAAGAGGAGCGGAATTGAACAAGACTACAGCGCATTTTCATCCCTCTAAATTACCACCGTCTTATCATATTATCGTTAGCTTTCCTCATTCCTTCACTTTCCATTCGCATACCATTCCAAAAAAGTCTCGGTTAAAATTTATGACCCGTTATGTCGATGATTGATACATGCGATGGAAACGAATTGCTTTCCACCGCTTCATTAACACTTCTCCTTTGATGTATTGATTAATGGAAAGAGTGATTTGTGATGTGATCGCAATAAAAATACATTCCAACTAAAGGATCACTGATTGACCCGTCTTGTCTAAATTTAGGCTATTCTTTCTTAATTTTTTTTTTATTTCAAGGACTAGGCATTTTCTATTTCAAGGACTAAGCATTAGATAAATGTTTAAAAAAAAAAATTGTGTTTAAAAAGGATATATACATGTACACTTGAATATTTTTGTTTTTTTTTTCAATCTAGGCTATCTGGAAAACTTCAAAAACTATTCCCGATAAGTATCCTCTTATGATCGATCAATTTTAACGGCTTTTATGCATTGCATATTTTTAAAAGAACTTCTATAGTATAATCTATAATAATATCCTTTAATCAATGTGTGAATAATGTCATCATTAATTGTTTAAAATTCAATTTAATTTAAAGTATGTCTTTAGAGCATTTTAGTGAAAGAAATGTGTGTGAAAAAAATGCAGAGAAAGGTTAAAGTTCAGCGAGAAGCAATAAGAAGAGTAGCTTGGAGAAGACAAACGATGAGCATTTGTCTCCTCTGTATGCTGGAAAGAACGAAGCGGCAATGAATGGTCAAAGTAATTGTTAGGGATGGCTTAATCGTTAATAATGAGGGTCAGGTCATTTATTGCGAAGAGGTCGAGCAGCAATCAGTCGGTCCATCTTAGATAAGATAATGATTTCATGTGAATGCGTTGATTACCGTCCAAACTCTGCCCTATTATTGACGTGTAAATATTGCATTGCGTAATGTGCGGGAAGGAAAATATTATTGTCCCTCTTTTGTATTTGTTTGTTTATTTCTTTCCCTCATACGGAACAATTTTTGCAAATCTTTTTCATTTTCAACCACTAACCTTTGTCAATCTTTTCTCGAACCATAATAAAAGCATTCACAACTTTGCATATCGTCTAAACTCTTTTGTAGTTTATTCTTCATGTAATTTTCTACGACTGTCTCGCCCTGCTCAAAAGCCTGAAATCAATCATCAAAGTCATTTTGTTCAGAATTTCTTGAAAGATGAAACTTTTTGAGAACACTGTTAGTAAATATTTGCGCCTCACACTATCCATAAAAGGTAAGAAAGAGTTTTTTAGTGAAATTTTTTTTAGTGTTCAAATAACTGATGTCTCATCCTTTGTATTGAATTAGAAGTGAAGAGAAGTCCTCCTGAATTTTGAAATATGTGTGGGACATTGCTGTATAAAACATATAATAATAAATTAGCTCTAAATTCCAAAATAGTGTCTTTCAATTTTGACTAATTTAATCGCTCCTAATATTTTGATCATTTTATTTGCTTTTCAAAATTAATCGATATCATCGAATTATTTCAGACTTTGTTTATTTGCCTGTTAGTATTCACATTTGCATAGCTTTTAATGACATAAGCCAAGCTGCACCGCACCTGTCTACATTTTTAGTGGCCATGTGGCTCAATCCCAATCGTACTGATCTTGCAAAATTATAGTCTAGCCCAAGGATATTAGCAACAGACACGTCATTATTTGGAATCATTTTACAAGCAAGTACCGCACTATTTTTATCTCTTTTTTTTACCTTTCTTTCTTTTTTTCTTCTCTCTCTCTCATCCTCTATTCTAAAAGATCTCTCTCCCTCTCTTTGTTTCGATTCTTTTCTCACTAGAATATTCACAAAAATTCCCTTTAGCAGCCTTTGTATGAATAACCCACAAATCATTATTTATGATTCTCATTTCGCATAATCAGCGGATATCCAATTATCCATTTTTATGTGGTCCAGAAAGCGATCAAAATCGACAAATCATAGCTATGCTCTTGTAGATGCATGCTGACATCTGTTACTTTTCATCGTCTCATGAGAAATTTAAATTTAACAAAAGGAATGCTAAAATTACTTCAACAAATGATGGAAAAAAAATTTTCACTATTTTCAATTAATAACTTTTGCATCCATGTATTTGTCAGCAATAATTTCTCGACAACATCTCAATCTAAAGATATGAATAATTGTGAGGAAATGTATGCATTCATTAACGCTAGAATTGCAAATGTCACAACGAAAAATTGAAAGCAGACATTAAAAACTAAATTCATCCATGTTGACATTAATGCTCCAAATTGTGGGTTATGGATTGTGCCTGCAGTTAGGCTGAACATTCTCAGATCTAGATAACTGCATGTTTATAATCCTATTTCGAAATTCTACAGTTCTCTCTTCGTTGCGTAACAATTGTTTCTAAGTAGTTTCATCAGTCTGGCAAATTTGTTGCAAAAAATTTTATTGTAATCAAAATCACAAAAACACAAGAAAACGGTATGTCAATGTATAAAGAATTTTCAAAAATCAACATGAAATGTGCAATACAGATGAGAAGGCGAAAAATTCCGCAATAACATTAAAACTTCATCTTTAAAAATACAGTTCGAAAAATCAGATAGCGGTATTCCACTTCCTTATTTCGATATTCACAAAGATAATAAGAAACTAGTAACTAATAGTGATGAGAAGAATTTCTTAATTTCGAAAGTTTCAGAATCGCTTTGTCTTGTGGACGAGGATAAATCCAAGTGGAATTAATACAATCCATTTTTCTTTCTCAGCTAAATCAAAACAGAATCTCACTCAAAGACAAAATAGAGCAAGTTAAAATATAATCACATGGATAGCTAAATAAGATTCTAATAATTCCAAAGAAAAAATAGGGTCGATGATACACACGAATTTATGTAAATTTTAATTTACATTTTAAAAATTACCATAACTTTTTGTAATTTAAAGTTACTTTTGTGACTTTCAAGTATCCCCGAATATAGACTTTTCACGTAACAACTAACGTATAGTCCGTTAAATAAGAACTTTTTTAGAAAATCAGTAAATTTCTCATACGATGGATTTGATCAGTAATAAAGTTCTATGCAAAAGTTTTCTTTACTCACACGATAATGCCCACAACACTTCAACAATTTCATGATTATGAACCAATAAACAAAGCAGAAAATATAACTAAAATACGCTGAACAATGAGACAGAACAGAAAAATAAGCGGAACAAAATCTATATAGACTAAACAAGGATTATGAACTAATAAACGAAGCAAGAAATATACTTTTGTAGTGCAACATAATAATGTCTTCCGCCTTAATCTATTAAACTCACTTATAATGATTAAATAAAAAATTAAATGAAACTTGATATTTTCTAAAACTTGACAATGTAGAAGAATCAAAAAAACATATCTGCAACACTGGTTTACCATTTCAGCTTGATATTGGTTAGTATAAACGAGTTGGCTGAGGAAGAGGTTGTGCAATAGGGTAAGCTGCTCCTGTAGCACTGGTATTCACTGCATTAGCATAAAAATGTGATGCTCCCGTTGTCGAAGGATAAGTCACTGTTGTCGCTGAAGTAGATCCTAGAGATGAATTCCTGAAAGTTTGAAAAAGAAATGAGACTTGTCATGAATTAGCATAAAAGTTTTATGGCGCCGATACAACTGCGAAAAATCGTCTGCAAACGTTTAAACGCAACGCCAAATAAATGTTCTTCGGATGAAAGCCTGTGTCACAGACTGGAACCACGTCGAATATGTCAATTTGCATGAATTTGAAAGCATATAAATAACTTTCAATTCACGACAAAGTTCTGTTGTTAATGTGAATTATGAAATTTTGGTAAATAACGTAAGTCAATAGTAATCAAAAAATTCGCCATGAATATCCTTAACCTTTACGCGTAGTACTACACTCTGCTCGTAGCAGAAAAAGCCTAATGTTTTCACGCGCTTAGTAAACAGTTAATAATTTTAAAGAACTGATGATTAACTGAGGTCTATTCCCCAAAATTTCATTTTCACCAATTTTTTACAAAATATAAGCACTCTTATGAAACGTACTTCTTCGAACAGTTCTTACTGAGTGTTTGAAACAATAAAAGGAGATTATTATGGCTAACACGAAAACCTACATCATGCAACCTAATTAATGAACTGAAGAAATTTCGCGGCGATGATAATCAAAACCACCTTATATGGTGGAAAATAAACATGAAATTAGCAAAAACGAGCTGAATTCTCGACGTGCTTAGTTAACGTTTAACTTACCTATAGATAAGCACACGAAATGTGGGAAAATTTCTAGGCTTACATTAAATATTTCACCTGCATTTATGCCCATTATTCAGCCAACCACAAAATAATGACAAGAAATAATTCCATTAGAATGCAGCAAATTTCAAAGTCTAACTTCTCAGATACGGAAAACAACTATTTCACTATATTCCGATAATCAAACCTCGTCGAGAATGACAATCAAAGTCGTTATAGAACTACTTTCCTATTTTTGCATAATCTATCAGTTACGCTTAGGAATTTGCATACAATCTAAGGGCATTACATCATGTCACTATAGTGTGCTTTAGTTGAAATATAAATGAACATATTCAAAATTTAACTGTATGTCCGCGAAACTTGCTAGTGCACCTAATCGAATGTGAAACTTACTAACTCTTATTTCCTGACTCGAAATAACTACAAAATTTTAAGGAAAATATGAAAAATTTGGACAGAACTGTTGCACGGTATACTGTAGAGCCGTTGGCGGGGGAGTGCTGTAAACATTGTTGGCAGCATATGGAGCCTGGAGCGGTGCAACTGATATTGATGGTAATGCATGAGCTCGAGCTTTCACTTCCTTTGTCAGTCGATCTCGAAAATAGAAATATTTCGTCCGCGACTCCATGTATTGTTCATATAATGGAAATAGATCACTGAAAGATATTACCTTTAGATGCGTAAAAGGTAAAAAATGGAAAATTGAAAATTTCAGTTTTAAAATTAATAATGGTAGAAAACATGGAAGTCTGGTATAAAAATAACATGGAAGATCTATTATAGAAAATAACATGGAAAATGTGGTACATGATGATAAGCTAAGAAATGGATGACAGCACCGGGTGCGGACAACATAATCGTTCTCTCAGAAAGAATAAGGCACTGTCAAACGATTCAGAGCATTAGATGAATAATAAAAATGCGATCTTCCAGAAGTCAGTCTTTGAAAAACACTACTTGAGTCTAGTTTTACAGATATGTTTTGAACTCAGAAGAAAGATATGGTTTTTTCAGAATAAGATATAAAAATTTTACCTGTCCAAGGGTCGAGGCAATTCAGGATCTGGATCAACCCGTGGTCCAGAAGCACCCGAACCTGCAAATGCAAATGCACCGGGTGCACTAGCGTCATGTCCTTGTGCATAAGACGGAGATTCTCCGGCGACGCTGTAAAAAAATGAAAAATTGGACTGTTAATAATAACATCAAAGAATTTCTTACTACTTTATTTTCTTCTTACTTAATCTTTTTTAACCATCTTTAGTTAACAGCCTTCAGATAATTTGCATAGAGTTCAATTTATGAGTGTTAAATATTAACTACCAACAAAACTCGTAAATAACGAAGAGCTTCAATTATCAAAGAAATCCACGAAAACGTACACTCCATCCCCAATAAAACGTTTCTGTTCTGGGCCACCTATGCAGCTTGTATTAGCAGCACGTTTCAAATTAATGTTTGCAGGATCACTTGGACATTGTGGAGTTTTGTGGTCAACTGCTCCACATCGATAACAACGTTTATCCATACCCGGTTCTTTCCGCAACTTTGACGTCGACCTATAACTACTCTCCTGAACAAATTTTTTGAATTCTCAGTATTGAATATAAGTTATTTCAATGCACCAATACTTCTAATCATTGCATTTTTTGCATTCTCCCTCAAACATCTTGGATGTATTAGTCAAAAATCACCCGATTCAATCATAAAAATTAATTAGTGAAATTAAATGATCTACTGTAAAACGCCTTTCTGAAAAACGATACACAATCTTTGTACATCGTATCTACTGTACAAACAATTTTTAGAAAAAACACATATCGTAGAATGACCTTCGTATATTAATTGCTTTCCCCTCCAGGATATAGCCGTCCAACTTTTCAATAGCTGTTCGAGCGTCGGACTCCTCTGGCACATGCTAAAAAGATATAAAACTTGGTGATATACTTCTAAAGATGAAATCCTTCTAAATCAAGCACCCTTATATACTCCTCATGCTCATTTCTCAGTTCAAATAAGTTTTTTAAATTTCTCAGTTTTTCTAAACATATAAAGAATAAAGAAAATGCGATTGACCGCATCTTCTTTTGTCTTATATTTTCTCATCAAACCGTCTTTTATAATCAAATTTTCTAAATTACGAACAACAAAGGCGTAATCCTTGATTACATCACACTCGTTAACTACAACGAATTGAGAAAAAAGTTGCCGAAGGCGCATTGAATCAACGCCATCTGGCAAGCCACCTACGAACAATTTCACCATTACTGGATTCCTGAAAATGAACACGTAAATTTGTTAAATTCTATCAGAACTATTAATGTCAAATGTTTTGAGAAAACCGACTGCATAATCACGCTATGATTCTATCCTACAATACTCCTTTAGATAAACCTTGTAAACTGAGAGCTTGTCGGTGTTCCTAAAAAATTCTTTCATTCTCTCCGTCGAATGTATGACCCGAATTTAGCTGTAATACTCTGGTCTCAGAAATTACCTTATCTTTCAGTCTAAAATTTGAGTAAATAAAATGAATAAAAGTACTTTCCAATGATGGAAATCTGTACAAAAAACTGCACAAGAAGTTAAATATGAACCGATTTAACAAAAATTTTGATTTTTTGCAAGCATATTGCGTAAACAATGCCAAAGAACATGCCATAACGTATTATATAATAAAAATAAAAGATATAATAATAAACACCATTGCGCCCACTCACGAATGAATCATAACCATATATGAGAGAAATTTACATAAGAGTAATGACAACTAAACAGTTTCTTACTCGATAATTTTCTCCTATATCACATAAATTTTTTTAGTACGTGGGTGGTTCTCAAAAAGTTAAATTCAGAACATCAATAAAAAGGACAAACGAAGCATTTTTTTTTTACAATGCTACGTTAATAAAAAAAAAATCATCGAATATTTTCTTGGGCTCAATGACTGGATTCATTTGGCTGCTGTTGTTGTTGTTGGCTAAAAGACGTCGAAAAACGATCTTTCTCCTTCAGTAAATAGTTGGCCAGATATTCAATCGGATTTGGTGGACGTTCTTTGGCCAACGCCCCTAGGGCTTGCAAAAGAATCGGAACAACAGTCTGATCCAGATATTGGCGTGTTGGAATGGTGGTAGTCGTTGTAGTCGCGGTATCACCACTTCCACTCTCTCCACCAGCCTAAAAACCAGAAAAAATTAAGAATGTAAAAACAGGGCTTGCTCTGCACGCCTCTCAAAATAACCATAGTTTGACATCACGATTCCGCGTCATGTCATTTTAAGAGCTTTAATTATAGCAACAAAACAATGCATGTCAAAAAAGATTTAACCGGTACACATAAGTCTTTTCTGAGAAACTGAGAATGTGTCTTTTCTTACGACACTTCTTTATTAATCTGAAACGAGATCTATATAAATCTCCATCCGTAACAGTTTCCGCAAAGTAAGGAAAGACTATAGGAAGAAAAAGTACATAGAATACATGTGCCGAAAAAGAGAGTGAAGTGAAATCCATATACCTGAGAAGCATCCTTCTTTTCCAATTCTACATTTGATTCGGTGTTTTCGGAAGTAGCTGAAGGATGAGAGAGTGTACCATCACCTCCTTTTGTTGCCTCCTCCTGAACTGGTGTCTCTTCCTAAAACAAAAACATAACAAATTCAGATCCTACTATCAATAAGAAATATTGTTATAAGTAATTATTATCCTTCCTACTAATCGGTTAACGTTATATATTGCCGTTCAAGTAACCACATAGTGCCAAGCGAAAGCAACCCGAACAGAGAAAGGAATAAGATACTTGGCTAAGAAGGTGCATCCATGACGGAAAATCTTTAATTCTGAATCCAACATTTCTGTCTAGCATAGAGAACCAGCATGACTTGAATAATAGAAGACATAGTTGCTTTACACTATCACGTACTTTTTTGGATCACGAAGTTGACGCGACATCAGCTGCTCAGCATCACAAGAGAATCATATTTGCCTTCCGAAATTACTAATGAAAGTTTATTGAAATTTAAATTTCTAGATTTAAAATTACAACCTTTTTTGCTTCTTCAATTTTCTGTTGGTGCATTTCCTCGACCTGCTCTTTCAACTGCTCTGATTCACCTGTAGGAGCTTCCGTTACTTCCATGGCCGACATTCTGAGGCGTCGAACTACTGGAAATTACATAAAATCACGCATTCAATTTGGAAATGTAGTTGAAGAGAAAGGAGATACCACTTAAGTTTGCCTACTTTATATCAACATATGTGAAGCGAGAGGTACAACTAATTCACCATGAACACCTGAGATGAAAAAAAAAAACACCATACATGACAAACTGTACCCACAATCTGACCCAGGAACTTACTGTGATGATGGCCAACTGGTTGGCCGAGACAAAGAATAACAGAGTCATTATGAAACAATTTTATTTCCCATTATTTTTCGAGTAACTTTGTTAACCGACGATATTCATACGATTTTTTACTGTTTCAAAGTAGTTTGTTACTCTTAGCATTCCGTATATTTGGATATTTGAGGATATATGATGGGGAGAATTGCACTAGCTTATGCTATTGACTTTTACAAGAGCTATTGATCCTTGTAAAGCTTGTATTTCATTTCTGCTTATACCGATTCTTCCTTCGTGATATCGGTTTTTTTTTGTTATCTTTCACAACCTTCATTTGGAATATGTCACTTTCATTTGCCACATTTCGGCTCTCACTACGACACCTTCTCAGACTGATGGTGACCCTTTCTCTCACGAATACAAATGATGAAATTTGAGATGGCATATTAATGTGTTGAGTTGAAAATTTTTTCTCTTTAATCTTGCTTCCTTTCTGTTATCTTTTGAAAGAATACAGTAAGAGCTCCTTTTAAAGGAATACAATAAATGTACTGACATCATTAATGATGTCAAAATTTTTTTTTTGTTTGTAAAAATGATCACAGATGTGTCAACTAATATTTAAAAAATCGATTTATGTAAAGCATCATTATCATACAATAGATAGGATTAAACTGAAGTATCATTCAAAATTGAAATTGGAATAGAATTAAAATGATATTTTGCAAGAAAACTATTTGTTAATCATACCGTTACAAAATATCCAACCACTCTTCATTGTAATTTTTAAAAAATGATTTTACAATTCTAACTTCTTCTTTAGAAATCAAATTGTTCATTCAAATTTATTTCTTCAAGAATAAGCAAAACCTAATCAGACTTTTTTTTGCATGTAGAAAATTAGCAATTTTAGAAAGAAACAAGTAATGCATCGTAAAAAATATACAATCAGATATAAAATGAAACTAGAAACGGAAATGTAATCGAATTTATTCATTGTCAACTAGAATTTATATACTATGGAAGCAGAAATGGAAATTGTAAACTTCGAAAATGTGTTTAATCAATAATTCAATCAATATGTAAAACTATCTCATGAAAACTTGAATTGTTCTGAAATATACACAAATTGATGAATAGTGCTGTCATGTTAATAAGGGGAAAATATTAAAAAGGAGAATTTGAATGTTTAATACGATTTATGAAAAAAAACTTTAGAAAGGAAAATTTGGAGTACAATATTGCCTATACAACTAACAATTTAAACCATTCATATAAGCAGAAATTGCAATTTAAAAAAAAAAAACATAATTTCGCTAGTAGATAGATCCTGCTAATAGAAAGGAAAATTCCTCTCCATTGCCGTTGCTACTTTCAGTCTTGATCCAATAATACTTGTAATGCTTCTTCGCTTTGAAATGTTTTTTCTTTTCAGTTTCAGTGATGGGTAAGGATTCAGTCCGAAACGAATAATGATATTCGCCTATATTAGACAAATATGGCATTCCCGTACATTTCATGTTTGTTGATGTTTCTCATATTGCTTATATGGAGGTTTGTTTGTTTCTATTATTGGATGAATAATGTGAAATAGTGTAGGAGATCTATAATTTGTAACCTATGAAATATGGATTTCGAGAGTTACAATTTTATTAGTGAACATGACAGGTTTATTTATTTATTTATTTTTGAATCTGATCATTGCATTGATCACTTTTGTATTGGAAGGAATATAATTTAGAATAAATAAATAGGGAATAAAATATTTGCTGTGTCTAATCAACTATTTTTATATGAGTTATCAGCTTTCACATTAATTTATAAAAATCATGCCATCTTTTAGAGATCGTATTTAATTAATTTAAAAACAAATTAGCTCGTATAAAAGGAACTCATGGTTCTATCGTGAAAACTGTACAAAAATCGTTTCTATTGTTTATAGCAGTAATTTAAATTTAGATACCGAGGATGGTTGTTATCGTTGGCAGTAGCGAAAATTTGCCGTTGTCGTTCGGTACGTTTAGGAAAATGCGGTCTGTTTTATGTGGAACATATTAGACTTTGTTTAAGTGGCGGCATCGTAATTGAAGTTGATGATTTTCGCTTAACGATCAGTTTCTTCAATACACATTATACGTAAGTTCTAGCATGTCTAATGCAGTTAGTAAATTACAATTAAGTAGTCTACAAGAAAATTGATCAGTTAGATTGATTAGTATGTGTAGAAGAAATTTGTGGTTCGGTGTTTCAAGCCTCGTTATGTTTATTGTGATGCATATAAGTATACTAGAAGATTCAAAGCGATAAGTATGGTCTCACGAGAGATCCTTTCCAACAAAGGAAAAATGATCTTTGTAAGTGAGGCAAGAACACCATCCTAAGAAGTTAGATTATCTTCACACATCTAGCTTGCTAGGTCTTTTATTTTGGAAACAACATCCTTGTTAGAATCAACATTTTTAGGAAGCCTTTCATAGTCACGATTAGTGACATCCGTATCGAAGGTGAATGTAATGAACAATTGTCTCTGACACCAACATATAAGAGGCGATACAGTCATAAAGATTTTGAAAGATATCTTCATTGGTTACAAGTACATTTTTGTTTGTTATTCATTCTGTAACCTCCGCTTTTATTTAGTCACATCAGTTCTAAATCCAGCTTACGGCATGTTTGCATCTTAATATTGTAGCTTCTTTTCACTTACTACTAACAGTCAGATTTTTCGATTTCATATGAAGATTGGTAAGCTATTATGAATGATTTATAGAAATTTCACTTTATATTTCACTTCCAGAACCTTTTTTAGTATACAAGTGCAGTAATTCGTACTGCGCGTGTTGTATTTCTTGGTATAGCTCCAGGATCCTTATTGCATTCAACTTTTCAACAACTACAACTTGATGGATATCGAGATCGTGAAGGGTTAATTTTTAGAAAATTCGCAAACATTAACAAAATATTGAATAATGTTTCTATTAAGAGAATATTTTTTCTGCATTTCAGGATGCAGGTTGAACTCTCTTGTAAATTATTGCAAGCAAAATTGTTCAGTCGTGGAATATCTCAAAATACTGCTCCGCTACTTGTACTTTCATTAGGGTTATCAGTGTGTTGCAATATACCTTTGGGTATTTCGAAGTTGAAGCGACTTGCTGCCCGTATTACTGATCCTCAACTCATTCTTTCGGATGGTTAGTTCCACTATGATCACAAATTGTTTCTGGTGAAGATTTGAAAATGTTATGATCTGAAGACCTTTGAAGAAATTTTAATTTATGAAGAAATCTGAGACATTATCATGCGTTTGAATCTGCTCGACCTATCAATGTCGCGTCTTTAATGGCAAAAAAAAGCATACTACATATCAAAAATGAAATGAGATTTAGTATCTTGTATTGCTTGGTAACATATCAGAGATGCAAACCTATAAGAATATTGTTAAATTTTATTTTTTTGAATGCTTACTATTTATTGATGTGCAAAAGTGTATCTGAATATTCGAGAGTTATAATTTTGAGCATGTTTCAGGTCTTTTGGACTATTTTCATGATTATCCAATACGTCAGACGACAAAAAGCACATCAGATCAATTTTTTGCATCTTTTAATATTGAAAATCTCCTGAACACAAGTCTGAAACTGGATATCGAGAATCTAGTATTGAGATATACAGCCAACATGGATTATTCAAAAATGTACATTATTTCACACTAATTTATTGAAATCAGAACTTAAGTTTTAATCACTTTGACGAATTTAAGCAGTAATCAATGTGCTAATGATTTCTACCATTTTTTTTCTAAGGAGTTAAATTATGAAAATGAATTGTTACATTTTTTCTATAACAACTATTGGATGGTGGAATGAGTATTAATCAGAGTATTAATCACTTAAGTTAGTAGTAGTTGGAGCTCAATGCAACTTTAAAAAAAAGAATTTAGTGCATATGAAATTACTTGTACAATAGACAACAATAACATTAGCAATTTTGTTGATTCAGACGTACCGTTGCTGCAAGGTTAAATGTAGCATCAATATCAACGAAAGATAATCAACGATTTGCTGTTGTTTTAACTGGGATTAATGTGGACGATCAAACACGAGAGATGTTATTTAGCTGCAGTGATTTTGATACTAAATTGAATGTTTGTTTTTCTCTATTCTGAACTTCATCAATGTAGTGGTCAACAAGATTAGTTTGTTCCTGATTTATTGGTGCTAATGTTATTGAGATGATGGTTCTTGAGATTATTTCAGACTTCATATATAGCTATTTCAGACATCATTTAAATAAGCCTGTCACGAAGAGTTTTTTTTAACATGCTGAATTTGATTTTTACTTTTCATTGCAGCGAGCGTTGGACAATTCAGGAAATATCTTTGTCGATATGAAGATATTTAACCCCCATTTTGTCACAAACCAGAAATCTATCGTTGAGTGGACCGAGTATTGTCATGATATTGGACAACGAATTTCGACTTCTGCTAAGGGTCATTTCGATGACGATTTTTTAACTGCATCTGTAGGCAAGCTAGTATTTCTTTTTTTTCTACGAGAGCAAATTCGAATATCCAAACGTTTAATCATAATGAAAAGATTGGCTCTAAGATCGAGAGTAACAGTACTTATTAACAATAGAAATTTTTGAATCTTTCAGCAGTTCACATCTAAATTAGTATTCCAAGTCTTTAGATTTACACGCAGTACCAATGGAAATGAAGCGGTTCTGTTGGGAATCCTTATCGATAGAAGTAAATTCATTTCACGGTCGTTTATTGCTTTCGAATGGGCAAGAAATCAATGCTGGCCTTGAACTGGGAACATTTCGCGTCAACGATGTATGTCTGAAGTGTTAAATTAATTAAGTTTTAATCAGAATTGTATCCGATAGCTGTTCATAACGAATGTTCGACAGCACGTTTTTCCTTTGCTTGATTCCATCTCTAAATATCTTTGAAGTTTTTTCCTATGCTTTCACATACCTGCACTGCTTGGGAATTATATTCTTTTGGAAAGGATATTTATGACACCTGTGTTTTAAGTTAGAATAGTTTTAAATCTCAAAATTAAAAACTGGATAACCTTAAATGCAACAAAAAATTGATGTTTTCGAAACAAATTTTTACAGCAGTGTTTAAATTCAAAACTTCATTTTTTAGAAATTTCTTGAAAAAACAGTCAGGTAATTGGAAATCCTTAATAAGATTATACTTAAATATCCTGCTTGCAGAATTTCGCATCTGCTGAACTTGGTTTAGAATCGGTCTCGATTCGACAAGGAAATCTTTTTGTTGACCATTTTGATTCTCGGTTTTGCCATGCTTGGCGCACATTGTTAACTATAGGAGCTTTGTTAACTCAGGTATTGCTTTTACCGGAATATAGCACATTATTATTGGCAGTGTGGTTTATATAGAGACGTTTTTTTGTGGCTTGAAAAATTCAATTGAACGAAACCGTAATCAACTAACAAAAGAGCAAAAATCTTTTGGGATCAAACTCTATCCTAGAAATTATGGTTTGTTGTAAAATTCTCTTGAAATTTTTACGAATTCCTGTGTTTTACCTTCTTATATTGTAGTATTCTCGAAATAATGAAACGAAGAGACTGCTAGTCAAGTTGGTGGAGTGCCAAATAGAATATGAGGAAGAGCTCATCTGGCAGGTATTTTTAATAACTGCTGCAATACTTATAACACAGAAACATTTTACACACTTTTGTGACTATAAAAATTTAATGTTTGTGGGGTACTTACCCTTATGGGTAACGTTTTAGTGTTTGTTGGAACTGAAAATTAAAGGGTTTTTTGACATGGATTTACACATAGAAGTTTTGGTCGATTTTTTTTAGTGCTCCTGCATTTATTTAATAATCATTTCAAATCATATAACTTATCACTTTGTCAGATGGCTTCGTTTTTATCATCTCTTCTCTGTAGTGGTTCATCATCAACAACATGCAATTCGTCGTCTGCATTTGTGCCTTATCCGCCTCCACAAGTTGTTTTTGCAGTACAGCTTTCCGTAGAGAAGTATGCTTTTTTTAGTCATTTTGCTATTAATACTATTATCTCCTTTATCGTTCTACAGCCTCGTTAGAATTATTTGTAGACATTCTGGAACCATTTTCTTCGATATTACAGTTAGCTTTATAGTTCGCAAAAATTTTCTCATATTTTCAGTGCTGCTCTCTTTATTCTGGCTCGACATTCATTATATCTTATTTTATCTATCGAACAGCTACGTGTGGATGCCTTGCCTTCTTCAACGACATTGTCAGTGCTGGCTCTGAATTTCAACATATATCAGGGAACCGTGACAAATGAGAAATTCATTTCGTGGGATGACTCATCACAAATAAAATTAAAACAGACTGTAGGTGTTTTTTATTTCTTGATTTGATTTGTTTCTTTTTTATTCCTGATGATTTAAAGGCTTGATAATTTGGGATCTCAGAAATCACAGTTTTATCTCTGCTTCGATCATTAATATTATTTCATTGTTTCAATTTCTACCATCTTAAGTGCGGAAACAGTGATCGCTTGATGATGCGACTTACTCGATTATCGTCATCTTGGGAATGGGTTTTGCTGGCTGAATCAACAGTGAGTTTGGTTTGGAGTACCACCGTGCATATTATTTTTCTAGAAACTTTTCGGTAGGTTTTCGTTTTCAACTTCTGCTAGACCTTTTCCATGCATGCTACATGATTTTCGTACTTATTTTACAACATATAACGGTAGTAACTTCATTTTTTTTCTTATTGATAATTTGATATAAGCTGAAAAATGAATTTTCTTGAATTAGTGTACCACAAAGCAAGCATGGTCTGCCGCTATATCAGGATTTTTGGATTTCTTGTTCTTTCTTTCTCTGAATTTTTTTCAGAAGTTTGAAACAAATCTCAGGTCTTTTTGGGCGAAAAACACCGTCCAAGGGTGCTCAACCGTTTCATTTCTGCATCGAAACATCCGATGCTGTAATGATCAAATTCCAGTTACCGAGATCTCACGTGTACGTGATGTTATTTTAGGATTTCATTACTTAATTTTCCGCAAACACGGATTTAATTTCTTCAGTATTATGAAAATTTTCGTTTATAAAGGATGTGCTGGGAAGTGCCATCGTTACATATACGGTACATGGATAATATAATAATCGAAATGCCACAGTTCACTGCTCTCTTGGATTGTCATCCTATTCTTATGATTGAGGTAATAATCTTTGAAAGATTGTTGAAATTATTTGTTTTTAAATTTGCTCTGACTGTCTTAATAAAGTATTAGTGTAAAATGCAACCAGCATCGGAAGAAATTGGAAGCAGCAGAAATTTATTGGTGGATCAAATTATTTTAGTACTTCAGCAGATAATAGTAATTTATTACAGAAGTTTAGTGTCGAAAAGCAAGCATTTGATGCAGGAATGGATTTAGGCAGGAATGAATTTAAGAATCTGAAAAACCGAACAAATAAACTTTGGATATGGTCTGCCGATGCGGTGATGTTCGTTTTTCCATACAATTATAATTTTGCGGCAGGATATGATGAGGTCTGTTTAATAAAGTCTTTCATTGATCTGTGATATCCGCTTATCGTGAATTTTCCAGTAAATTTATAAAGCTCATATCGTTATGAGAAGGCATTGTGCAGATACGGATTTTAAACGATTTTTAGATAATTAATGCATGGAAGTGGATAAAATTAGTGCATGGATGGAAAAGAAAACCGTTTACTATTGATTCTCCATTTCCATCAGATTTGCGCTTTTCAATTAAAGTAAGCTATTAAATAGTTTGTGAGACAGTTTAGAAGATTGATGTGATTTAGATTAAAACCGCAAATGATTAGACGGAATTATGCGTTAATCACCAGAGTGTTCTGTTTGGATTTATTCCATGCTTCAGCTAGATACAATCCAGAAAAGACATAATGAAGAATGGTGGAGGAATTAATACATGACTTAATCGATATATATATTTTATAGCTTTTTGCCTTTCTTTATAAGATTGTATTAATTTGCAGAATGCTTCATTACAAATCAATGATGATCCATTTGAAGTGCAACTTCAAAATAATTACGAATTAATGGTTGATGAAGTATATGAATGCGAACGTCGGCGTCAAATGTTAGATCAGAAATTGGAACAGCTTCAGAAAACACGTCCTTTTTTATCACGTTAGTAAACTTTTCCTTCAGCAGTATTGATTACCAAATTAGAATTTGGTTTGGATAAGGCAGCCTGAAAAGCTGTGCTTTCATCTCACCATTGCAGAATCGAAGGCAGATGAATTACATCGATCTTTAACTAAGAAAAATGCAGAAATTTATATTGAAAGATCCAAAAAGTTGCCGAATTCCAGAAAACACCTTTGTTTATGGTCAATTACGAATCTCGAGGTGATATTAGTTGAAGCGATTTTCTGCTTTTTTTAAGCAATTTGCTTTTTCAGGTACTGAATTTAATACTAAGAATGGTGCGGGTTTAAAATTGTCCCATTTATGAATCAGAAATAAATACGTCTCTTCAATTATATATTGTACAAAATTATTGTGTGCAGTGGTTTTTTAATAAATCTTAGAACCATTTAGATTCGTGCATATGCTGATATAACTTTACACGGAAAAGAAAATGTGGTCAGACATCTGAAAACTTTCAATCCAGAATCGTAAGTTTTGTGTGAAAAACAAACATAATAATGAGATAGTTATTGTCGCAGTTTAATTGATAGGGAGAAATTTGAAGTTTAATGTTCATCTCGTATCTTGGTATATTTTCGTTTATATTTAGCTTGTTCATTATAGTGCATAGTAAATTCTGCTTTATAATACATTCCAAAAAATTAGTTTTTCTTACGAGAGCCTTAAAGTTAAATTTATATTAAATACTAATGAGCTATTTTTTTCTCTGACATTTTTCCGCAGTGCCATTAGTTTGCAAATTTTTAGGCCATTTCCAGCTGAAGGTATGGAATTCAGCACTCTGTGGGCACGTGCTGTTGAAATGGATTGTGACGATTGGGTAATGCAATTCCGAGATTATCCGTTGCCATATGTTCTAATGAAAGATGCACATTTTTGGGGATATCTGGTGGGAAGTGAACAACTCACAGGTAAATTTTGCAAGAAATAGTTGGAGTTTACAATGGGCTGAGTTCTTACTGGAAAAGAAATAGAAAGATTATGATGATTTGATACATTATGATGATTTTCAACATGTTAAGTTGTCAACAATACTGTTCCTCTCATAAAGCTTGTATGTGATTGTTATGTTATGAAAATAATACTTTCAATTTGAATGTGATTATAAAGTAAGACTGGATTGAGTAACTAGTAGAAATGCTTAATCTAACAAATAGTAGTAATTTATCATCTTTCAGGATCTCGTTCAATACGTACAACTACAGTAAGATTGCCAGAACCTTGGGGGCAATATACCATTGAGCGAAACATGTGCCCTTTGAAATATTATTATGATCTGTCATGCGGTTTGTATTTCTTTTCGATAGCTGTTAATAGTTAAGCAAACAGTTTTTACCGATTTTATATCTCCTCAAGTATTGTCACTATCTCTTTAATTGATATTAAGAATGGTTGCTGTGCGCAATTTACATTTTTTCAGCTTGCTATGATCAAAAATCAACTTGGTTATAGAATTATTTTTTTAACCGACAAAGTGACAGCTTATTTATTAATTGAAATTACTTAAAATTATTTGTAGAGATTAAAGAATTGAACTGCACTTACGGACCTTGCTGGGAACCATGCTTATCAATGATTAGCCTTTGTTGGAATAATGTCAATTTGCCATCAAGGTATCTTATCTCTTCCTTCTGTTTACTCTCTTAAAACAAAGACTCATTGTGCCATGTAATTTTTTTGGATCGCCTTGGAAATTTTTGCAGGAAGATTAAGTTGACGTATCTTAAGCAGTGTAGTAATAGTATGCTACAGATTTCTAAGACAACGGACAGCACTTAAAGTCAGATGATGCACTTTTAGCACGGTTTATCCAGCTTATTTCATTATAAGGTGACGAAATCATGTTTATCAGTATTATTCCAGTGATCCAAGTCCCCCATTGTCGTTTTGGGACAAAATCCGGTTGCTTTTACACGGTCGTTTTTCTATGCTTTGTCAAAATTTGGTAACATCGATGCTTGCATCCACAGATCCATATAATTCCACTGAACTGGTTGAGATATGCTGGAAAGAATTTGGGTTCGATTGGATTACAGGTAAATAATTCCCAGACGCGATTTTTTATCATGTTAAGCTGCTTTTAGAACGCGATCAAAATTTTCATTGATTATACGAACGTTTATATGAAATCTGTTCTGGACATTTATATTGTCTATGAACCACATAGGTTGTCCATGAATCTTCAAAAATGATTGATGTCCTTTACAATCTAAACAGCGATAGCTATAAAATGATCTTATTGTTCTATTGGATGGAAACCTATCTTAATCTGTAAATTTTTGTTTCATAAAAAGTTTTAACTGCGCAATTTTTTAAATTTAAGTTGCGGTTACATCAGCTTCCATATTATGTAATTCAGATCAATTTTGTGTGCAAACGGATATGGATGCATTCGTACGTACTGCATCAAAATATGACGAAAGCCGTGTTTTACATTTGCCGGGTTTTAAATTCAGCGTGAAGATGGACTGGGCGTGTATTGGTGATCCACACGATCATCATAGTGCTCAGCCATGCGCACCTGACAAGCTTCCTGAATACTCGTCCACGAATTTAGTAATTTTTCAATATTTTAGTGATCTTAGGTACTGACTTTCTTGATTCTTTTATTTGTACAGTAATTTACTAATTTATTGGCTTCATGAAACTTTTAACTGCACAATTTTTTAAATTACGTTGTTGGAAGGCAAGAAGTTCAATAATATGACTCATTATTTAGCACATTTTATGTCATGGAAGTTTATTTAAGAATAGATATATTGCAGGAACACGATTCTTATCGCGCATTTCGTTCATTGCACCTTGATTTAGTTTTTACTTTCGAGGTGAAGCAGTCAGATAGCACAGTCACCAATAGCAAATGTCCGCAGATTTTGCTTTATGCTAATACTTTTCGATGGCTGGAATTTCTTAAAGCTGGTTTTCAGTCTTGTTCTTTTTTTTGCATTTTCATTATATATACTTATTCAGATAATATTGATCGACTGATTTATGGAGATTCATTTTTTTGTGTTGAATATCTTTATTTTCATAGAACTTCATTGAAATATGAAATAAGGTTGAAGCACTTTAAGCATGCTATTCTCAAATATTATTCGTTACGCAATTTGTGATGAAACTTCAGTCTTTTAATTTAGAATACAATGACGACGGTTAACAGACCAATAAAGCGTGGTCAGCTGTTTGGTGGAGACAAAACTAAAAAAAACCAACTCAGTCGACATCTGAAGTAATTTTTAAACCCACAGCTTGTGCCGATTTATTTTTTATATTTGTCAAAAATTCGAAATTATTGAAGTAATCAAAACTTTCGTTTGAAATTCATCTTAATGTTGTAGGCACATTCAGTTAAATGTCATGCTTCCGCGCTTTCTGATTACTTACTGGATGTCGTACTCCTCATCGCATGGTCTACGGATGATTAGTGAAAGTTTAAATTTAACCTCATCATTAGAACTTCACATTTTGCAAAATGGCGAGCAGAAGGTTAATG